CCCGCCGCGGAGCGAGGCTGCCCTTTCTCCGCAGCGTGATCTATGCGGCTCCTTTCCTCTGCCCTCTTCTTGCAGGGAGAGGCTGGTGGCAACAGGACGAGCTGGATGGATGGGTATGGGGAGAAGGGCAGGACGCTCAGCCCTGGGATTCTGGCCGACGCTCGCCGTCCTGCTCTGCAGCTTCCCGGCAGGTAAGGACCGTCGCGGCCCGGGACGGCCGGCGGGGCGCGGGGGCGCCCGCAGCCCCGGGCCCCACGTGCGCGAGCCGGTCGGGGGGCAGCTCCCGGCCCCGCTGGCCGCTTGCACGGGTCTTTGTTTCTCCCGCGCCCCGCCGAAGGCACGCTGGGCGCCCGTGGGGACCCGGGGAAGGGGCACTGCGCCCCGCTGCAGTAAGAAGCCGGGCGGGGGTCGCCGGGGCCGGGGGCGCCTCCCTCCGCCCTCCGGAGAACCGGGCTCCCGGCCCGGCCCTTAGGGATCCCGGAGGCGAGGACTCGTGCTGGGGTGGGGGGGACTTTCTCGGGTCCGCGCCCACCCCTTTTGCTAACCTGCCGGTGCCTGGGGGTGGAGCCGGGGGCACCCCCGAGGTCGCAGCCAAGTCCCCCGTCGCCCCCCCCCTCGCGGGCACGTCCCGCCCCCACGCGCCTGCCCACGCGGGGACCCCACGGACTCGCCCCCAGGAGCCCGTATTCTGGTTTGATAACTTTCCGCGTCGCCCCCTGTTTGTTTTTATTGTGTCAGAAAGGGAGAGAATTTCAGAATTAAAGCTGAAAAAGCCCATCTGTTTCCAATGAATCCCCCATAGTTTTTCACAATGTTTTTGGCAGATCGCTGCTTTTCAAATTCCTCCGAGCCCGGACCTCTTGTTTTTGTTGGGGGAAGGGAGCCCAACTCCACAGAGAAGCATTTGTTCCTTCCCAAACGCTCCAGTTTCTTTACTTTTTTTTTTCCTTTCGGGGGGTGGGGGAAGGCACGAAACTTAAATCCCCGGTCTGTTTTCTTTACAATGTTTCATAAAACTTTATTTCATTTTTGCCATATGCTACTCACAGCCTGGTAACGCCAGGGAAACCCTTTTATACCCACTTTTCTCTTGCTTAAAAACACAACATAAACCCAGCGTCACGGGCCAAATGGTGCGGCTGCGAGGCGGGTTTCCATTGTGCTCCGGGCTTCCGAGGGATCTTTGCAAAAATGCGAACTCGTTTCGCTCGGGATCCGCAGCCCCCACGCACAGCCCAACTTTGCAAGAAAGGACTTGAGTTAGACCAGACTGAGTTGTTTTGTTTATTAGCTCCTCAGCCAACCCGGCTTTCAGGAACTGGCAGCATCGGGTGGTTGGGACTCAGCCTAGCTGCAAGTTGGGGCTCCTGGCGGGCGGCCCCCCGCAGGCAGCGGCGAGGGGCGAGGGATCAGTTTACCCAGGCCCCGGCCCTACTCCGCCCACCGCCTCCCCACCCCCACCACGCGCCCGCCGGGCCTGGCACACTCGGCTCACTCCGCAGCTGCGCGCCCCAAGGGCATCCGCGAGAGCCGCAACCTGCTCCCAGCCGCGGATTCCACTGGGGCGGGCGGGCCAAGGACGAGATGGGGCGGGGGCAGCGAAGGAAAGGCTGTCGGTGCCTCAAAGCGCGCCTGGCCGCCCCCCCACCCCACCCCTGTGCGCCCTGACCCGGGAATATTAAACCTCCACTCCCGGTGGGTCGAGCAGGCAGTCTCCCACCCGGGAAAGTCTGGCTGCAAGGCTGATTTTGTTTCCCCCCAAGAACTAGAACGTTACAATACAAACGGACTCGTCTTTGAAAAAAGAAATTGAGAATTAGGAGTTTGCACTTCGTGCGCTTGGGTTTGATCTAGATAAAGATCAGCCTACTGGAAGGTCCATCAGATGGGCTGATAAATGGCTTTTGTCCTGGGCTGCTCTGGGGGATGTGAGCCCAGCCCCCGAGCTGAAATTGAGAAGGGGGGTTTAGAGGCCCTTAAAACAACACCTTCCCGCTTTGCTCTTAAAGCGCCAGCAGTTGTTAGCTTCCCGGGCTGGAGAGGGCTGGAGAGGGCGGAAGGTGAGGGCTGGTGGTGGCCACGCAGAGGCAGGAGGGAGCTGGGAGAGTGGGTGTTTCCCGGTTTCCCTGTTCATTTCTGCGTCTTAAAAAGCCTGAGGTATCCCACAGGGCCGGAGGCAAGTCCGGGTTATATAACGCCCCGACCTGAATTCCATCACTTTGGTTTGCAAGAAGCCCACTTCTTGGCATCCAGGCGGTAACTAAACCCGTGAGATAGGACAGATAGCGCTCGCCTCCTGCCAGCTGGCTCGTGTTTCTCCTCACCGGAGGCCTTGACAGCTGTGGAGTCAGAAGTGCCCACCGGACAAAAAACGGAGCTCCCCGGGTCCCCAGTCAGAGCCCACGGGGGCTACTCGGAGCCGGGGCCGGAAGGGGTAAGTGGGTGACTGCCCCGCAGAAGAGCCCCGCCTGCCAGGCCGCTCTGACCGGCCAGCAGAAAGGCAGAGAGGCGCAGGGCCAGTGGGGGCCGGGGCTTGCAGAAGGGGCGGCACTCAGTGCCAGGCCGGAGGCCCCGCCAGGCCCTGTCCCTGCACGCAGGTGGGAGCTGCTGCAGCCCTGTCAAAGCGCAGGTTTGTTCCGCGGGCAGCTGACCGGCCGCCAGCAGCAGGCCCACAGGAGCGCAGCCCCGATTGGACACAGTTATGTGCCGAAAGACGCCGTGGCCGCTGCCGGACTGAGCGCTTTTTGTGTCTGTGGGGAGTGCTGACATGGACTCGCGCCGGGCGCCACGCCAGCTCTGACCCAGCAGCACATCTGCGTGCCAGCGCCGTGGGCCCCTCTGACCCAGGCCACCCGGCCCAGCCCAGCCTGGGCGCACACAGGAAAGGGACTCTGGTGTCCCTGGGGCTGCCAGTGTCTGGCGGGATGACCCAGAGCCGCAGGGGGCAGCCGAGGGGTGGGGCTCCCCACCCCTGGAGGCCAGCACTGGCTTCTGGACCCCAAGTTACCAGCGTCCTCAAAGCACAGTTCCACGCCGCGTCCCAGCCCGGAGTCACCGTGCTCAGCAGCAGATTTCCTACCCGGTCGCCCCGGTGCTGGGCTGTGGCTCCCGCAGTGAACCCCACTTCTGGGCCGCCTTGGGCCTCCTGCAGCAGCCGGGGGCGGGACCCTCAGCCTGGTGTCCCGGAGATGCTCGCCTGGGTGTGACGCCAGGGTGCAGAGGGCCCTCACCTTCCTTCTTCCCTTGCTCTTACTTTTCCCCTTACTTTGAAATGGTGACTTAGTGCCCAGTGGGGGGCCCCCACCGAGTCCAGGTCCATCTCTGTCACTGGAGAGATGGGGCTGTTTCTGCCAGAGCTGCGGGTCCCGTGACCTCGGCGCCCACCTGCCGGGCTTCATGTCCCAAAAGAGCGAATGAGCCTGTCTGGTGGCAACAAGCAGGTAGCCAGAGGCAGCCAGTGGCTGGTGTGTGACACACCGGGGGGCCTGCAGGCAGAGCCTTGCCCCCCCCCATGTAAGCTCCCACAGAGGACTGACCCCCATGACCTTGAGGGTGACTTGGGATCCCCCATCCTCTGGTTTAAGAAGAAAAGCCCTGCGAGTTTGGAGAAACTGCTAGCAGTGACCCTGCACACACGGGGGCTGACCTGGGGCGAGCATGGCTGGGACACTCGGTGAGTGAGGACGGCCGGGAACCTATGGAGATGAGGAGAGAGGGGCCAGTTACAGGTTGAGGGAAGCGGTTGCCGCTGGGAAGCCTCTCTCAGGGTGCAGGGCGCCAGTAGAAGTGGGCAGAGCCCCGACTCTGCTGTGGCCCGCTGGCCAGGCGCCATGCCACTTTAATCCCTGGCGAACGTGAACCCGCCCAGAAGGGACAGCGCTGGTGCTTCCAGGGGGCAGCTCCTCCCAGGTTAGCCAGGACAGCTCTGGTTGTAGGGCTGCAAGTCGAGTGTCCTCAGAAGTCCTCTCAGCCCCTGGCAACCCCAGAGGCCGCAGCCTGGGCGCCCCGCTCCGCCCCCGGGGAGCTGACCTGTGAGCAGGGGCCCTACTGCCTGGACTGAGTGGACCGTGGACCGCTCCATGCAGACCAGGGAGCTTCTCCCTCCTCTCCTGCCTGGTCCTTGCATGGCTGTGCATGAGCTTGGGGCTGCTCCACACCCCCGCCCCCGAAGCTGCAATGCCTCGCTCCAGAACACCTGTTCGGGGACGCTTGGCGTTTGTGGCCTTCTTGGAAGCCTCCAAAAAGGAATCTAAAATTCAGCCTGCCTTGCGCACTCCTCCTGGGCCTCACTGTGTCTCCTGGCACGTTCCCAGGCTGCATGTCACGCCTGGCCTCCCCTTCCTCCGCCCTACCCCACCTCTCAACTGCAGGCAGCCCCCAGACCTTGCCAGGCCACCTCCGGTCTGGAACTGGCCAGGTCGGGTTCAGGCTACGAGGGCTCAGCCCCCCCCCCCCCCGCTCCACCAGCCACTGACACGTCCCTCTGAGCCCAGGGCTTTGAGGTCTTCAGGGTTTGCCTGCTTCTTTACCAGTTCTGCGTGCAGGGAACCCCGTATTCTGCTTGTCCGTGCCTGTCTCCTCGTCAGATACCCCAAACACCTGGGCGCCGCGGGCCCCGGGTTCTGGCATTTGTTCGTTGTGGTGCTTTTGCTCAATGGACAGACACCATGGGGGTTTTGGCCCAGACACCCGTTTTTCCCCAACACGGTTTTTTCTGAGTCTAAAAAAATTCTATTTTTAACTCAAGGGTAAATACAAGAATCAAAAGGACCCGAATTCCAGCCCCTGCAGCCAGGCATCACCAGTTCCGTGGGGCGCTTCTCTCTGAAGTGGGAGACTTCCAGACAACGTCCTTGTGATGACAACTGGGTGGCGCAGGCCCCGCTGAGGGGGGCCTGGCCCTGGGGGACCCCCCCCCAGGCCCTTCTCACTGTCCTGATGCGGAGACGGAGTTCAGAGAGTTTCCCAGCTTCCCACGCCTAGTGATGGGCGGGACACGCTGGACTCCGGGGCTGTGGCTGATGAATGGAGTGAAGAGTGACACTTTCAGGGGACCCACATGTCGCCTCTTCCCGAAGGCCCCTCCCTGCGCCTCGGTCACCCTGACTTAGGATGCTGAAGAAGGCGGGGAAGACGGCGGGCAGGACTGGGGGCGCAGGTCCCCCGTCGGGCTGCTGGGCTGTGTTTATTT